TGTGACATATGTAGAGCAAATTATAATTAAACGTTAAAATTAATGCATTCATTCTATATTGAACAAAAAACTGGCTTAGACTTTATCAAAAACAAATTTTTAATTATCTCCCTGTATGTACATGAAACATTTAATTCGGTAATATCTTTACAAATAATGTTTTTTTTTTAAACTTACAAAATAGATAAATCTTCATTTGATCATCAGATTTACGACATAAAACATAACAAAATACGTTCTGGGTCCTTTAACAAATACATCATGGTCAAATACAAACCTTTAAGAAAGGGCACGAACAATTGTTGTCATACCTCTCCATCATAAATTTTGGGCAGCTATTATGTTTCATTAATCTTTCAAGTTCTGCACACAAGTGATTCAAATAGCAATAATATTCACCTATAATGTCACACAGTTCCGTGTAGCCTCTATCAGTTTTTAGTCTCCAATTCAAATCAACCTTTAATAAACAAGAAACAAATTAAATTAAAAAAATGTAACGGTAGAAACTTTACATTTTAAAGGTGTTTTTTTAATTGAATTTTAATATCTAATTGTTCAGGCAGACATGTCTTTTTTCTGTATATAATGAAAAAGTCCTTTAAAAACAGAATTGTCATGAAGATAAGTGTAATTAACTTTAGCGAGACCGTTTCCTATGTTTGTCAGGATCTTAAAGGCAACGTAGGCAACTATATTTGAACCACCCTTGGACAAGTATATCTTGGTGTAATAACATTTATCCGAAGGCAAATTTAAGTTGTTATATCTTATTTTGGTTTATTAATATGTTTTTCTTTTCTTCAAATTCGCGCTTACATCTATTCTGTTGCCGTCTTGTCCAACATAACTTTCTAGATTAAATTCCACGGTTAGAATAATCAGCTCTCGGAGATTTATTGGATCAGGATTCAACTGAAAACGCTGCACGTGAAATGGGGCGGCTGACCTGTTACAGTTTTTAAAGTGAAAATTTGTCTGGTTGGCGACATTCTATAGAGAAGAAGGAAATTATATACAATGTACATGTATATCAAATGATAATGTTTGGTTTCAAGTTGTTCTATGTCTTTGTGTTTGTTTCTGTTGTTGTTGATTTTGAATAATTGAGACGGTTTATAGGCGATAACAGAAGCTGCAAGCTATATGTACCATTCAATGTCCCTAACATTGGCCTCAACATAATTTTACATTAAAACATGAAAAGGTTAAGATTTAAATCAATAAAAATGTGTTTGAACGGCAGTGATCCTAAAATCTTTAGATTAATTATAAGCCGATCCTGATCCCAAATTAAAAGAATGCATTTATCAACAATGAGAAAAAAATGTGCAGAACAAGATACAGGTGACATGAAGTTTTATTTATTTAACAGGATCAGTGATTATACAGCCTGCATATCACAGAAATCTTTAAATTTAAAGAAACGGGCAACATACCTTGGGAATGATTTAACGGTATTCAAGTAGGAGTTCTGAAAACTCTGCACAAAAATGTTAGATTGGTGGTATTAAATATCACAATCAAGACACATTTTTGCTGAAACGATCTTAAAGGATAGAAAACATAACATCTGAGTAAACGTGAAAGGCAAATTTTACAGGAAATAAAATGAATCAAAATTTTGAGGAAAAAAAACAAGTATCGATAGAGCAAACAATAAGGCAATCAAATAATAGAAGAAAACTAACTTTACCTGATATACCAATATCTGTGTTGAAACACCAAGCAATAAAAGATCGAATGTAAACAAAAAACTTGGTGTCATACCGTACATTTCGAGTACTCCTGAATTATAAACGATTTTTCTTCTGGTTCAAACGGAAATTTATTTTACATTTTGATCAATGACAAATGCTAAATGTAGTTTAAAGTAATCCTTGTGTTTGTCAAATATTAAACATGATACCATTGAATAGTTACTTTTTTCTTCCTTGTTACATCTCATGTACAACACATGATAGTTTTTCAATAATCACACAGTGGTCGACTTGTTAACACTAGTTATCTAAAGATTGTTAGCCGCATGACTTCAAACCCTGCCATGAGCAACCCATTTTTTGGCTGTTGGTTTGTTATATTTTTGTTGTTGTTGTTGTTGTTTCTTTTTCTTACTGATTTGTTGCAGAAACATTTTCGGCAATCTAGTTTCCTACATGATCGACCAAAAAATATTTTTTTTTATAACGAAACAATTTAAACATGGTTGTTAAAAAGGTAATTGTACTAACACACTATGCTAAAAACACGTAATCCAGGGGAAGAATGCATCAAATGTTTTTTGGAGTTTTTGGTTTTGTTGTATACAATATAGCAATACCACGTGACCAAAATTGTTTTCGGCATCATTCCTAAACAAATATCGCTCGATTCGAAAAAGATAAAAGCCGTTAGTATTTTATTTCTGTACAAATTTCTTTTGGATATGCACCAGTCTACGGGGAAAAATAAGCTTACCACAGAATATTGGATCCCATCAGTATATAAGCTATTTTATCAAACATTTTGTATAACTTTGGAAGTTGTTTGTATAGGAGCGAATTTCAGTTGCAAGATATTTCGTTTTCTTGCAATATCTGATCTACACCATGATAAAAGATTCAGGTTAACATCAACCGTGAGTACGGAAGACAAAATCCTACCCAAATATGTTCATATTTTATTTATAATGGCGTAAATATTATCTTTCTTTTCAATTGTCAATTCTGGCCCGAAAAACAATGGACTACTGTTTAAAGCAGATTTCAGAATTGGGTGCAACTGCAAAGCAACATCCGTTCAGTTCCCTGTCTATAAAATGTTCACCAAAAATTAACTTTCTTTGTTTTATTTTCTATACGATGTACATGTTAATTCAAAAACACATGCACCAACGATTTTTATTCGCAGCGCTATCAGTGATTTTGAAAGCCGTAAAATTGCTGTATGTATTTGTTAAGAAATTTATTTGCTCTTTAATCATTGTTCTTTCACGGCAATGATTGTGAAAAATCTTTAAGTGTCATGAAGCAATACTTATCGTGAACTTCAATATATGTAGAAAATCAGAATCCAAAATAACGTCCAAAACGGCGAAACTAAAAATTATACATTCTCGGTTGGACTTAGCCAATAACAATATGTATAACCATACATATACTAGGTAAGGAACCGGTGGCAATGTCTTAGTTATAGCATGCAAATTTATTTTTACATCATTTTTTACATCCAAACTAACTGTCTTTCGTAACCTGGATAGAACTTCGTTCCATTCAGAACACTTCACACTTTTTATTTTTTTATTACATGTTTTTCTGTTGAATAACTGCCTACTGACCAATTTAACTTTATCAGTCACCCTAAGGATGAAGCATTTGTAAGACATGGGAATTAAATAAATATTACCTCCTTCAAAAAGCAATCTTCCTTTATAGCTATAGAGCCTTCATATTTATTTCCAAAGTACCAAAATCAATTTGTTATCTTGAAAGTAAAAATGCTACGACGGTAGGACGGAAAGACGCCAGGGATATAACATAATATCAGCAAATTGTTAAGGGCATATTATTAATGTACTCAATATAAGTGGTCATCCTATGAAGTTTGACAGTTGTGTAACTGTTAAAATATCAAGGTCATTCTATATTGACCTCTGACCTTGTGACTCCAATATAGGCAATCTTCCTATGAATTTTGAACACTGTAAGTCAGATGGAACTTGTGTTATGCTCCAGAAACCACAATTTTCAGTGTTAAGGTCATTGTAACCCTGACTTTTGATCTTATGGCACTAAAATCAGTAGTGTGTCTCGCATTGGAAATGGCTGCTCATCTTATAAAATTTTACAGCTGTAGGTTGATTAATACTTAAGTTATTGAACGGAAACCGTTTTCAGTTTTAAGGTTATATTGACCTTGACCTTTGACTTTGTGACACCAAAATCTACAGCGGTTTTCTACCTAGTATGGACAATCATACTATGAAGTTTGAATAGTGTGGGCAAAATGGAAATTAAGATATGCTCGCTAACGGACAGACTCACAGACGGACGGACGGACGCCAGGGGCATAACATAATTTGCCCGAAATCTGTTCGGGCATATAAAAAGTCAAGTATTTGACACTTAAGTAAGAACAGCTCGGGAGACAAACATTTGACAGTTGTATGATAGAAATTGAATATAATCTTCCAATGAAACCGAAATTTTACATATGATATGTTAGCTACTATTATTCAATGGGCAAATTGATCAGTGCCACATGGATCACAATCCTAGTTATTGTCGGTGTGACTATTTCCAATGTCAATCATTTCTAATTATTATCGATAACCAATTTCATTTCCGCTTTTTTTAATGTTTTGTTTCAAAAAATTTGACTGTGATTGATGGCTATTGTTTTGTAAAATCATTAATCTGTTTACTATATTCTACTTTGTTCTCTCCGTATGGCGTCCATTCTCGTTCCTTATAGGTGACTCATGGCTAATTTTGTGCCTTTAATAAACAGAGATTCATAAGTAATGCAACTTAGTTACAGTACTATAAGGTTAACATGACAAAAGTTCCAGGTCATATGAAATGATATCGAAATTATTCTACACAAAAAAAAATCTGACTGATGATGAAAGTGCCTATTGTATAATAATAAGAATAAAATGTTAACGTTACTTTATGCGCGTAACAATAAGCTTCATAATTTTACCAATGCATGTACATAGTGCTTAAATGTTGTGATTTGGTTTATCAAAACATATGTCAAGTTCAGAAAAAGATATATACATGTATCTTTTAATATTCTCTCTTCTGAGCAAAAAGGAACATCTTCGTCAAAACATAGCTTTACTTGGATTTGAAAAAATAAAATAATTGATTTTTGTACAGGACTAAATCAGCGTGATTTCAATTTCAATTTATTTATTCACTCAGGTCATGCAAACATGACAACATAAGGTAATATTTCAATTACATATACATAAATAATCAGACAGTATCAAACTAACATGATATATAAATTGTTAACATAAACAATATCGCGGGAAAGTTAGTATTACAAGAAATACTTCGACATTGACTTGACGTGCACTATTGCGGTACTGGTAAAGGTTTCACTATCTGTATGTATTTAGAATAATTATTTTTTAGAGATTTATCACGGATCATTTTTTTATAAAGTCAAATTATTTCCTGCAATGTTTCATGTTGCTTATAAGACCATTGTTACAGTTATTTTGGAACACCTGCCGTTTACTAGATTTACCCAGGTTGAATAATTTAATTACATATTTTCCTTTATTGATATTTTGAATGTCTTCGCCGAAAGTTGGATGTTCATATTTGAGCATTCTATCTAAAATATGCTTTAAACTGTATTCCATTTTTTTTTACTTGGAGCTGGTGCCAGAATTTTGTTTTGTAATTAGCATTTTATATCATATATTGTACAAACATGTAATAAAAATATTTTTATGTTAAAGAGTCAAAACCGTGCCAAAAACACCCGAACAAAAGCCACCCTTTAACAACACATCAGTACTTAACAGAATAGAGGATCCTCTTGATAAGGTACTCTTGTCTATAAAGGAAATGTTATATTTCTCCTCTTTGCGGCCCTGGTCACAGGTGTGACTGTTATTATGCATTAAAGTATATAGTCAGTACAAATACATTAGTTTCAAATAAAGCTATATTAATCAGTACAAATACATTAGTTTCAAATGAAGCTATATTAATCAGTATAAATACAATAATTTCAACTGAACCTGTATAAATTATATCAATTGTACATAACTAAAACTAATATAGCCTTTTTCAGATGCGATAAAGAAACTCTTCATCAATTTAGGATTTTCATATAGAACAGTTATTTTGAGAAAAGGGGGCAAAACGAAATGCAGTTTACTTACCAACCAGCTTTTTCTCACTCAATAAATTGTTGAATCTGATATTTTTTCTTCCCTTCGATTAATATTTAGAGATTTACGTTCATTAAAGCTTGGCTGTTTTTGACATTCTTGTGAATTAATGACAAAAAAAGTCCTTAACAATTGTTAAATGATATTGGAATGGATTTTTTATTAACTTAATAACATAGATGACTGTTTCTAGCCTTTTGGGTCAAGCTTGTAAAAAAATTTGCTTGATGCGTATCAGTGATATAAGGTAAACAAATGGCCATGCATTTGGATAAAACATCAGTTATCAAGTCGTCAATTACTATTAAATATGCTATTTGTAAACACGAATGTCCATGTAACATACATATTATGAAAGTTTTCACTTTTATTCGTAAACATAATTGCAGATATTTTAATCAGGGACACACTATCAACATGTTTTGAGAAATGTCTTATACGAAGCCAATTAAGTGTATTTCCGAAATGTAACTAAAATTGTTGATCGCTTTTCATTTTATTAAATACATATTTAATACAGAATTCAGGTCATTTTATCGGGAACATGCAGGTTAACATTCATATAGTTCTGTATTGTAAGTTATGTGAAATATGATAAGTTCCGTAAAACAAACAAAACTTCAAAACACACGTTGTTTTTTGCCGCGACTATAGATATGTATAAATTAATGCCAGTCTCATGTTTTTGCCACTGTCGATAAACTAAAGTAATCCACGTAAACTGATATAGTAACATTTTGTCATATTATCTGTATCCCAAGGGGTTGCAGTCGCTGAAAAGATTAAACCGAAAATTAAAGGAATTGATAGATAAGAAAATAAAAAAAATAAACTAAGGCAAGTTGTCAAAGAATTTCTATCCCTCGTGATCCAAACAATATATGTATTCTATTTTATTCCTTAAATAATAAACTGTAAAAAGATAAACATGAAATCGAAGGTTAGATAACAAACCAGATATATGCGATTGAGGATAATCTGACTTACATTAAAACATTAAAAGGTATTGTATCTGACCCTAAAACGAACATAGTGAAAATATATTTTTAACGACCTTGTATTCATTACATCTACGTATACAAAGTTTTTTTCTTTCAAACTTGTATGTGCGCACATAATGCAATTACGCATATCATGTACATGCTGTAATTATACATTATAAACTTGAATTGTCTATTTCTGAATGACAAACATGTAGAACATTGTAATTATATACAAACTATGAATAAATCATGTTATTACATATTCTCATTCTGTGTATCATTAGGTATACTATTCAAGACGTTTGAATGACCAAAACTAAAAATTTGAATTATCAAACATAATACGAAATATATTACGTTATGCAGAACTGGATTTCCACACATCCCAATATCTTTCCTTCCTCGTGTAGGTTAATGGTCAAGACAAATGTTCCTCGTACCTCATACGATAGCTGATCTATGGGAATTTTAATAGGCGGCAAGTCATACGGCCTCTGTAAAGATAAAACTAAACCTACTGCTATAGATCATTTAAAAAAAATATAAGCGCGTTCATTTCTTTAAAAATTATTGTCTTATAGACATGATTATTATAAATTATTAGAATTATAAGATATTAGTTATGAAAAGATAAAGTTTACTTATTACATATCTTTGAAATTGGTTTAGAAAGACATTATAACCACCTACTTTAATGAATGGGCAACCACAAGTATTGTTATACAGTTTCGGTATGTTCTCTGGACATGTTCTGTCTTTCATAAAATCTTTAAGAATAGAACACAAATCGTTATAATGACAGTATGATTCCCCTACGATCTGGCATAGTTCTGTGTAACCGGTCTTTGTCTTCAAACGCAAACTTAAATCAACCTGTAAAAATTTCAACATTTATAACAAACTATAAAAAAATCCATTAAATTCAGCTTTTTCATAGTTATACCAACCAGTGTTGAATGACAAGTTGTAAAAGTCCTTAATATGTGGCAATATTACTGGAAGGAATCCTAATAACGAATTGAAATTTTAACAGAATTCCGTTTCTTTTTTCTTTAAATGACAATAACTATATATATTACATTGCATACATATACGTTACGATTTTTGACGTTACAAACGTTCAATATATAATTATAATTATAGTTACTATACTATCTTATATCTCTTGCAAGATCGTCTTAAAAATTGGCTCAAATGTCAACAAGGCAATGTTCAAACCTATGCCACTTCTGTGCCAGCTCATGGTTACCCTTAGAAGATCGAAAGACCAAATATCATCACAAGTTTGTGTCCGGTCTATACATACTACACCCCTTGAATGATTTTCTTGAAACTTGGCTGAAATGTTCACCTAAGAAAAGGCAATGAGCAGAACCGATGTCGGCGTAAGGTTGAAATCAAATGTCAATTATTAGGTAATTTTGTGTCTACTCTATAAATCCTATATTCCTTAAAGGATTTTCTTAAACTTGGCTCAATTATTCACCTCAACGAGGCTGTGTACAGAACCCGTGCCGCCTTGAAGATCAAATGTCAGCCTATTTCGGGTCTGGTCTTAAAATCATATACCAGTTGAGTGGTTTTCTCTAAACTTAGCTCAAATATGCACCTTAACAAAGCAATGTAAAGAACCCATGTCGTTTTTGTGCAGACTTAAGATCGTTCAGCACGACAATATTGTTGTGTATACATTTTACATGGTATTTTTAGTTTCTTGTATTTGGCCTTTTTCAACTTGGGTGGTTCCAGTATTCCTACTTGAATACTGTATAATCACCCTTAAATTTGTTTTTGACGTCTTGCCTGTGAAATGAAGGTTTCATAACCGCAGATCCCCTTTCAAAATTCCATATTATGAAGTTCCCCCCATTGTTTTCTCGTTGGCAGACGCATTCTTTAACTTGGGACCACTCGCCGCTTTTCATTGAATAACACTACTGTGTCACATTGAAGGTTCTATGATAACCGCCGTATGCACACATCTGCGGATGATTCTAAATTAAAAATTTTACCATTTTTGTGTTTGGATTTTGAATTTTGCTTAAGCCGTTGCTAGGGGGCGTGATCGGTAATTTGCACTTTCCAGTACCGTCCATGAACAGGCTCAATCAAACAGAGCCTGCAACATTTTACAATTTTGCCGTGTTGGGCTTTCTTTGAAGATTCTGTTTTTCTCTATTTTAATGTCCAGGTCACCCTTTAAGGTCAAATATCAGACAACTTAATATGTATCTTTATAATTCAAATTCAGATTTAGGATTTTCTTTAAACTTGGCTGAATTGTTATTCTCATCAAGACAATCCGCAGAAACATGCGCGGTCGTGCATGCTTTAAGTCACCAATGGCGGTCAAATATCTACCAGTTATGTGTCCGCTCTTTAAATAATAACCCCTTAGGTGCAAAATCCTTGCTGTCATTTTGCAGGCTCAAGTCAACATTATGTGTCTGCACACAATAAAAATAATAATTACACTAAATAACATTATGTGTCAAAGAGATCAGATCAGGTAGGACTACTATTCATCTATCCTGTGGCAGCTCTAGGTACTGTATGTATTCTGCTTATTTCTACTCATTGCATAGAGTAACATGCGTTACATACATTCCAAATATACGTTATATTGCTAAAGTTACCTCAATGGTATTATTATGGCTTCCAGCATCTTCATCGAGTGTACTTCTTGAACGGATCGTTATGTCATTCCCAATCATAATTGGGTCTGGAGATATATCGAGAAAATTAACATAGAGTGGGACAACTGAGGTATTGCAGTTGGAGTACCTGAAATTTCTCGCACTCATCGACTCCTGAAAAGGTATGGTTTCAGGGAATTTTATATTCTCGTTATACAGTGTAAACACTGTTGTGCAATAAATTTATCAAATATATCTAAAGTGTTCCTTTTGCAAACATATATGAAATATCACCAACCAATTTTAAAAATTGATTAACGATATTCTCCATAAACATATTTTATTTTAAATGAGTATTATTGTTTTAATGCTTTGATTCAATTATCATAGCTTATGGAAAAAAAACAAAGAAAAAATACCTAACCTTGAATATATGCCTTTGTGATGATACAAAATCAATTGCAAAAATGCATAAAACGCATACTGTAAACGACTCGAAATAAGCCATGACACACACACTACGAGATAAATAACCAAAACTAAAAAACTGGAAACGAACACGAAACCGGACGGAAATGACAAATGGTTGATTTCTATTGGAATTTATTGCATACGGAAGTAAATATGCGATTCGGCAAGACGGTTAAAAGTTTAGTTCGGCGTTATTTGTTTGTTATTTGTTTGTTACAGCTTTACATGTGTTTATTGTTATAATACTCATGTGCCTTGTTCTTGTACGTTTGTTAGTTCGGTTCGAATGCACTTTTTAATGCAATGGGAAATGTTGAAACAAATATTGCTATTCACTTTAAATCAAAATAATAATATTTACAGATAAGGTTAGGACAATTTATATTTTTTTTACGCTTTAATGTATAACCAATATAACGAAATGTTCAAATAGCTCGCAAATCTAGGATTTTTTATATAAATATCTGAATGTCATTCTACACTAAATCTTGATGTAAATAGGGAGCGTGGACGGTTACTTGCACTTTCCAGTTCCGTCCATGAACAGGCTCAATCAAACCGAGCCTGCAACATTTGCAATTTTGTCGTGTTGGGCTTTCTTAAGGGATTCTGTATTTCTCTATTATATTACCAAGTTTGTCATTTCTTCCAACTTAATGTGTTGTATTATACTACCAAACAAGATAACCTATGCCATACTTAGTAGTATTACTATTTACGTCATAGTGCTTTTTCATGGTACAAGACATTTTCCTTGAAAATTCATTTACTTCCTTCACTAAATTTTATTTCTAAAGCTTCAACATAATCAGTGCCATATTTCTTTGCAGAATTGTTTATTTCAGGTTAATTAAGAACCATATCAATTGGATGTCTAATTTCTGTTCCAAACAACATGGTTGCGGGTGTTACTCCAATAGATTCCTGAACAACTGAAGAGCAAAGGGCCATAAAGCATAATGGTACATACTTATCCAGTCATTTCTATGTTCAGACACAAAGACCATAAGCATATCAAAAATACTTCTGTTTGTTATCTAACTTTTCTTTGTGTTTTCTTAACACCAAGATGACCACTGGTTGCAGTATAATGTAATTGTTCCAATACATATTCCTTCAGACATTGGGATATAACTATTTAATTCACTTTAGTATTTCCCACATCATTTAGCCATTTTTTATTGTAATACATTGTTTATCATTGTCAAAGATTCCCATCTATATTTGAAATATTTGATTTGACTATTCAGGCAAGATACACTATTCCATCCTGTTTTTTTTATTGATTTCTATCAATCTTAACACATGTTTGATATGTGGAGCAAACCTCTGTTACTGTGCTAAATAAATCTATATTTTCTAAATTTTCTGTTCCGTTATCAGTATTTTAACCTTTATCTTTGTCTTTGTCTACATCACTGGTCTTTGTTTCATGTTCCACACTCACCTTGGTCATGGTAGATGTTCCTGGTTTACTGTCATTTTCAAGATTCTTCTAGATTCTTATGAGAATGAGATCTGACCTCTGTTGAACCTTTTTCTAAATCAGAAAATAAAATAAAGAATTGTTTGGCTAATGCTGAACACGAAGAACCTAAATCTAATTCAGTTTTCATGATAGTTGCAATTGCACTAACTGCATTAGAAGACAGGCTTCATTTAGTTAAAACTATTTGTGTTTTCGGTGGAATATCGAATTTACTCTTAACAAAATTAAACTGGAATCCTTTTGAATAAGTCATTCAACACCACTCGCACAAAATAAACGTTTTAATTGTAATATAAATATGTTATTTCATATCGATATATATTCGTCTAATTAAAGGTCATATCGTTTAATATCCTTTGATAGAACACAAACCTCTCTGGCGTGGGTTCGATCCCCGGGAGATGCTTTGGTAGTTTAGCGCGGAGGAAGGTTGTCTAGTACTGTTGTAACTCTCCAGGAACGATGGTTAGGAAACTACCCGCCTATATGACTGAAATACTGTTGAAAAAGGCGTAAAATGAAACAAACAAACAGAAAGAACACAATGAATAAGTACATGTACCAGAGAACCAATTGCCGTCCAAAGTGCCTCCAAAATAACTAAATTTAAATGAAATCGACAATGTCTTCAGTTTAAACCTATTTATTTCCCGAATATATACTTTTACATAATACATATACAATACAAATCAAATCAAATATGTTTATATTCAAGAAAAGGATCAGCACGGCGGATTAAGTCTTATCAAATTCTTCTTTTTAGTGTATTTCATAATGTGTCGAGTTTTGTACTATAATAAAAAGTATGTTAACAAGGATGCAATAATGAGTAACAAGTAAGCAATAAAAATGACTGAAAAGAAAAGATTTAATGTGATGCTGTAGCTAACAAAAACATAATAATGTAGCAAAATTGGTCTGGTAAAGAGGAGACAAGGAATGTCTCACAATTAGATCAGATAAATCGTTTTCTTTTGGAGTTGTACATATTAACATACTTGAAAATAGTGGCATTATCTGTATCAGGGATATCTGGGTTGCCAAAGAGAAGAGTACTAAGAGTAATGTTAAAATTGAAATTGTCTATATGTGTTAAAATTTGGGCATTCAAATAAATAATAAAAATAAGTTTCCATTTGTCCGCACTCAGAGATATATTTTTCGAAAAAGGTGATAGTATACGGAGCTGCATTTTGTGCGTAATATTGCATGTAATATTTGAAGTTTCCTATCACAATAATAGAACAAACTTTGGGGTATATTGCTTGTTACGTTGTAGATAACTTTTTAACATTGAAAGTGTTGGCAAGTTTAGTACGTTTATGGGTAGTTTGTTCCATTCACGTATTTCAGCTGGGATTAAGACTTAAGATATAATAAAATATAGAAATATAAAGCTAATATACCACTTGTGTCATTTTAGTTCCTTTAGTTGTTGCGAGTGTTTGTGGGATCTGGTATAGGTGAAAAGGTATTCAGTTGCTATGCCGTATTTATTTTTTTTAACAATATATAAGTCTATAGTAATGACGCTTCTGCTTTAATATTTCCAAATCAAGCCTTGTTACACCCGATAATATTCTAGCACATTCGTTAAAAAAAATATTATTCAAAGGATCAATTTCATATTGAAACGCATTTCCCCATACGACGTTTGCATATTCAATAGATGGTCTTATACACGACGTATTAACTATTTCTAAAGATTTTCGATCTTATATAAATTTTACTTTTCACATTAATTAATGCTTTATCATGAATATGCTTAATATGTGACTTCCATTGCATTACAACCCTTCAAAGATTTTTGTCAGCAAGTATTTAGTTGATTTGTATGATATTACTCCAGCTGCAATGCTTCCTAAAATAGGTAGCACGGACTTTGCAACTTCTTCCACTGTTTCCGATATGGCAAAGTCTTGACAGGAAACCGTTTACCCTTTCACTGTGCAATTCATGATCAAATCTGTCATTTGAAGTTCCATTTTCAGCTCTTCCTTGCGCACTCCTAGCATTTCTGCACTTCTTTTGATTGCATCTTCGGTCAAACCAAATTGTTCTCTGTACAACATGATTTCTGTCAGCATTACAACAAAATCCACGACCGTATTCAAGCCTGGAAGTGGAATTGCACCAGTCCCTGCAGATAGCAATGAAATGAATTGAATTCTTTTTTCAAGTTCCTTCCTCTTCTGAAACAATATTTCTTCGGCTTGACCAATAATTGAAAAGCTATGGCTTCCCGTTTCCATTCAGGTGTATCCTCGATTATTTGTGCTTGTAGCCTATTGAAGTCAAAGTCATCTGTTTCAAAGTTTTCGATCAAGAAAACGTGACTGTCAGATATATGATATTGTTTGAGGCTCTGTAAACAGTCACTGCGTATTTCGTTCAAGATTTCATCTCTTGTACGTGAGAATGCCCTACCTTTTGCCTCATTGGAAATATCATTCAATACTTTGGTTCCTACAAAGTAAAACTTTTTACCCATCTTGTTTATAGTGTTTGCCAGCCATTCATCGTCTTCTAAAAATCGCTCTGATGAAAATATAAGGAAACAGTAATAATTTGCTAGTTGGACTGTATCATCATAGTATTCCCGTTTGAAATTCTCCGTTCCAACTCCAGGTAAATACCAAAATACTATACTAGTATTTTTGTTCTTAGGATGGTTGTAAGACTTGATAGTTTTCGTGCATTCTCTGATATTAGTATCAGCAGCACCCTCCTCTCCCGTTTTAAGTCCCTGAATGAAGTTAATAAAAGTTGACTTACCGACTCCTGTCTGTCCAATAACTGCAATATTCAATGGAATTTTACGCCATTGATTAAGTGTTTCTGTGGTATATTTTTAACACCAGCAATACCATGCTTTTTTGACTCAAAAAGAAGTGACTTCTCTTTCACCAGGTTCGTCGAGACACTCAAACGTACTGTTGCTAGGCATCATTTGATTTGGATTTAAAGGGCACTGAAATATATAACATATTGCTTTATATATATACCTCTTGCTTTAAATATTATTGCTCCTTTTTCGAAGGTTTAAGTTTAATGTTCGAAGTCAAAACAAACACACTGGTTGCTTAGATGTTTACATATCAATATATATACACAAAGAATATTTGACAACGTATTGATACGCAATGTCCTATTCAATTTAAGTGTCTGTACAAAATGATTTTTGTTAAACATATCCAGACCAAATATCTATTAACTGAATGAACAAACATTAAGGCATAAAAAGTATTAATTTGCGTTGTACATATTTTAGCTCACCTGAGGAAAATGTGCTCCACTATTGTCTAGTAGACCAACATTTGTCAGAATTGGCCAAAACCCAGGGTATCACTGTCCTTATCAACTAGTGATTTCAATAGCAAACTTTGCCGTTCCATATTAACAAATGACTTCCATAGCAACGTTTGACTTTTAAAGCAACCAGAGACTTTTCATAGCAACCAGAACATTTCCTTAGTAACCAATGACTTTATCAATCATTTAATTTGCAAAGCACTCAATGGATTTATACGAACCATTTGGACTTCCATAGAAAGCATTTACTGACAATGTCAACCCCAATAACAACCATTAACTTTCGTCATCAACAATTGACTTAACGTAGTAACCATTGATTTCCATAGCAGCCATTGGTTTTTCGTAAATTCCAATAGGATAAACGATTGACCTTCTAACAAACATAAACAGGATCACACGGAGGCTGCAACATTTTTAATTGTGTCGTTTTGGGCGTTCTTTCAGGATTTTTTCTGTATTCCATAAAATTTATTTTCAACCACAGCCATTTACTTATATACAGTCACATTGAATGTCAAAAATTCCCTCCTTAGCAATAGCAACCATGCATTTTATCATGTGCACCATTTCATACGAGAATTTGAGTTTTAGATGTAAAAGTTTAAAACTGTCGGATATGTGAAACGGTGTATAGTTTGCGTGTGCAACAACAGGGGTATTTGTCATTTTACAACCGGTGTTTATCGGCAAAAGAAATATTGTATATATTGTAAAAATCAATTACTTTAAGAAGAAAATGTTCATCATGCTTGTTAAAGGTTAAATAGGATTTATATGAATATTTTACTAAAAGCATTGAGAATAAACCAATATGAAATTTCAACAATCTCCTAACAATCGTCATACAGCGAAACACGCTAATAAGTGCACCGTTATTAGCGTGTTTTCGCTCCGCTTCCCCGCCATTTTAACTTATTTCAACTTTTTATTTTCGACTTTTCATTTTGGCAGGGTCCCGGGGCGCAAACACGCTAATAAGCGGAGGCGCCGGGTAAAGTTTTAATTATAAAATGCCGCCCGCGCCAACGCTAATTAGTGTGTTTTACTCTGAACCCCGCCGTTTTATTTCTTAAATCTCGCTCTGCATCCCCGCGGGCGAAGTTTTATTTATTAAACTTCGCCACGCACCCTTGTTAGCGAGGGTGTTTTCGCTCCGCATCCCCGCCATTTTAACTTGTTAATGCTCGACTTTTCGCAAAACACGCAAATTAGCGTTGGCGCGGGGCGAAGTTATATTTATTCCGATTTTATTTATTTATTAAACTTCGCCCCGCGCCCCGCTAATTAGCATGTTTTTGCTCCCCGCCACGCCATTTTTATTCTTAAATCTCGCTTCACACCCCGCCAAGTGAAGTTTAATTTATTACACTTCGTCCCGCGTCCCCGCTAATAAGTTTGTGTTCGCTCTGCGCCCCCACCATTTTAACTTCTTAATTCTCAACATTTCGCTTGGCGGGGTCGCGGAACGAAAACACGAATGGCACTAATCAGCCACCATATATTTCAGATATAAAACAAAAAGTACTTAGGCAATTAAAGATTAATCAAAACAAAATTGAAAAGGAAGTAACCCTTTTTATGTAAACACGCTTTTGTTTCAATTGACAGAGAAATTAATGGTAAGATTTAACAATTATAGTTTTTTTATCTTGAAAAATAGAGCACTGTTACATGTGTGTGTTTAAAAATGAACTGTAAGGGAACTAAATTCCTATCACCATTTTCTACGCAGTCGGTATGCAATTACATTTACAATTACTTGATTAATATGCAAAAGATATGATAATTATAAACATTATATCTATTGAACACATCAATGATCATATACTGTATTGGACACATTCACTTGATAAGTAAGGATACTTGGTTTGTTTTTCGATACTTTCATGTGAAGGAGTAAACTTACAGGATCGTGATCGTTTATGGATGGTATCGTTATTTTGGATAAAAAATTAAGTCAGTAAGTATTTGTGGTAAAACAGACTAAGAACAAAAATGTTCACTAAAATGTAATGAGACTTAAACGCAGTGTAAAATGTTTTGTGGGAGAAAGTATGGTTAAAGACAACCTTAACATCTTAATATCTTAACTAGAGAGTTAAAGAAATATTAATAATTATATATGTGTATTTTATCTTATAACTATTCTTGACATTTTTCTTTTATGATGGGAAGAACTATCATTTACATATTATTTATGAACTGTTCTTAAAATTGTGTTTAAGAGTGGCAAAAACTTCCTATATATTTGATTTTAGAATGACCAATTAGATTCCCAGGTTTCGGCATGCAATTCTAAAATGATCAATAAAAATGCTTCTTATATTCAGTTCTACCCTGTTTTATAGGATGGCAAACTAACTTTAGACGGCTAAAGGCCTTAAGATGTTATCTTGTGACCACGACTATTTATCGTGTGGCCACGACTTACTATCTTTTTGCCATGAGTTATTATCTCATGAGTACGACTTTATATTTTGTGTACTCAATAAATATATTATTGCCACAAGTTATAATCTTGTGACCTCGACTTATTATCTTGTGCCTCATGATATTATTTCGTGGCCATGACTTATAATGCTGTGGCCACGACTTTTTATCTTGAGGCCTGATGATATTATCTTGTGACCACGACTTTTTATCGATATTATCTAGTGACCACGACTAATATCTTGAGGCCACAACTTATTTCAGCCAATGAAAATAGTTGTTTCATCAACGACTTACATATCATTTTCAAAGGAACAAATAATTATAATATGATACAAGCAAGCTAAGCATCCTAATATTTCTTTTGTACAGAATCAAATGCAACTACAGATGTGACCAAAGAACATAGATGCCCCAACTTTTCAATGTGTCCACAATGCGAGTTTATTGAATTTATTCTGCTAAAGGTGCAAAATGCAAGCTGCATCATTGAAGGGTCATTTGACTTAGTGTAATGCTGGATGAGTTAATTACATGAGTTTTATATTAGTGTCCGCAATGTTTCAGGCATAATTTGATGGAGTATGACTTGGCTGGATGATTTGTTGTGAGTTCAAAGGACATAGATATCCGAACTTTCAACTGTGTCCACAATGCTGGGTGCATTGTTGAGTAAGTTCTGTCTTAGTGGCCACACTTAATGTGCATTTTTTGATGGTGCATTGACTTGGTTCCCACAATGTAGGTTGAATTTATTGAGTGAGTTCTGTACTAGTATCTTTAATGTACTTGTATCTTACAATTAATTGTTGCAGTATTGAATCATTGTCCGTAATGATACTAACAATTATCATGTCATGACACAATGTTTAGCTCTATAAATCATTTTACCTTTAGAGAAATAGGAATACTATAAGGATTTTACTATCATTTTACCAGTTTAAGTTCAAATATTCTGATACTTTCAAAAAACCAAAACAACATAACATGAAAAAGAAAATTATGCATGTACAATTAAGCTTTAATTTACCAGTAAGTTCCAGCTATATCATATTTTTCTATTATTACTTTTACTGGTCCTTTCTAGGGAAAGTAATTTCTGTATAGGAATGATTAAAAACTAATCAAATTACATTAGTCCTATTCTCACATTATTTTACAAGCACTCATTTCAAAAGAATAAAACTGCTTGTTCAATACTTAAAATGTCTGAAATTGAATTTTAGCGCAGTGTTAAATGCTGTTTAAATTCAGAACATGTAAAAATCGCTTTTGTGAATTATGGCAAGTCTATAAAGTAATTATGCTCATTACTTTTTAATCTTTTAATCAAATGTAGCCTTTCCATTCAATTATACAGGAGAATCAATGTTTTAATATTATTTATAAAAGTGGTATTTTAGACGAATGGAAGCTACTAATTATTATTCAAACAAAGAAATGCTATTAATTTTTTCATGGGTAAAACCTTTTTCAGTTTTGTGTTCCGATCGGGGTCATATGTATTTTGTTATAAGATCACAAAGATCTGATTGTGCCATTCTACTTGTATTAGTTTTTCACTGTATTTAAAGTTGGATTGGTCTACAACGGGCACATGTGCCATAATGGTTTTAAATATTGATAAAACAATTATACATGTATCATTTAGATATAAAATCCAACTTTTCCCGTCGTATGTCATAATATGAAACTCCAGAATACATGAGCCAATGTACGAGCATCAACAGATAGTGCAGTAACTAGAATGCTGGTAACTTATTGCACTCGAGTTATTGCACTGTATATTTATGGGTATTTAATTTTATCAATTTTATAGAAATGATTTAAACTATGATATAAATTTAATTAATTATGTATCAGACAACATATTTGTATCCTTCATACTGTGCTGTTACGTCTGATGTTTTGAGGTGCTTTCGACCAACGTTTAAATGTTTTTCGTAGCAGTACTGGTGCCATTTGAGGTTACATAATCGTCGCACCAATTGAAGTTTGAATATTTTGATTTGGATGAAAAGAAATAGCCATAAAAATTTATGCCACCGCCGACCCTTGTACCCGGGTTCTTGTTAAGTCTCGGCATCAACTGTTTGGAGAAGGGATAATTGTTCTTTTAAGTATTTAAATCCCGTTGGCTCATAATATTGACATATTATCTTTAAAGATGAATATTAAGGGGAAGCACTCGTTCATATTTTTATTAAAACGTAAACTTTTAAAGGGCCATTATATGTGTACATCTTGGTTCAATTCCCTTAAATTATCAGTTTAAATATTTCACCCTCCTATCGTAATAATAGAATAAGAGAAATATAATAGCTAAACTAGGCAAACCCTACCTTCTCTAATTGTTCTGAGAACCGTAAACCTCATAAAGGTTTTAACGAAATAAACATGAAGGTAATAAATTAATAATTTTAAAGTTTATCAAGTTAGGTTCTTCATTTAGTTAGGCTTTTCAATTCATTAGAAATGTGTAAGATACACATTTTTTTCGGCAACATGAAGGCTAATTTTCATATTATGTTGAATGATATGTTATGTAAATATAATCAGTTCTGTACAACGAACACAATCTCTACACATAACTTCCGCACACATACATTTTTTTCTGAATGGTCATTGCTGATATAACATTATGTCATATTATCTGTATCCCAAGGGGTTGCAGTCGCTGAAAAGATAAAAGGGAAAATAAAAGCGATTAAAACAGGAATATTTTGTTACTGATAGATTAAAAAATAACAAATCTAAACTAAGACAAGTTGTTAAAGTATTTCTTTCCATCGTCATGATCTGATCAAAATATTACATGTTCCATTTATTTTATTTAAATAGGTTAACTGTAAAAAGATAAACTTGAAATTGAAACAAATCATCATCTTGAAATTTAACAAATCAGATAAATGCGAATGAGGATCATCTTACTTACATTGAAGTATTTGAAATATAATATTTAACCTTATAGAGGACATAGCGAAAATATAATATTTACAAACTCGTATGCATTAAATCTATGTAATATACAGTTTTCACTTTTAAACTTTTATGCGCGCATTAATGCAAAGCAGCCTATCTTGTACATGTTGAACTCGAACATAATAAACTCGTTATAAACTTCAGTTGGCTTTTGATGGATGACAAATATTTAGGGCACCTTCGAACATGATTTTGAAAATATCTTTTCATATGTACAAGACATGAAAAGAAATACATTTGATATTCTATTCAAGAAGATTTATTGTTTACAAATGACCAAACAAAGTAGTACTACGAATATATCTAAAGTTATAATTAAAAACAAAGAGCGAATTATATCTTACGTTATACAGAACTGGATTTCAACACATCCCAAAATTTTTCCTTTCTCGTGTAGATTAACGGTCAAAACAAATGTTCCTCGTACCTCAAAAGATAGCTGCGTTAAGTTGACTTTAATACCCTGGATATTATAAGGCCCCTACAAGGATAAATATATTGCTAATATAATTCCTTTCTTAAAGAAGTGCGTTAATTTTTTTCATATTTTTGTCTTTAAAAAAGTATTTACGCAAAGAAGTGATATAAGGTAAGTTGATATATAGTTTGCTTTTAACATATCTTAGAACTTGTAAAGGAAGAAATAATAATCACGTACTTTATTGAATGGGCAAGCACACGTATTGTTGAACTTTTTTCGTATGTCCTCTGGACACTTTTTGCCTGTCATAAAATCTTTCAGAATAGAACACAAATCGTTATAATGGCAGTATGATTCCCCTATGATCTGGCACAATTCTGTGTAACCGGTCTTTGTCTTCAAACGTAAACTTAAATCGACCTGTAAAGATTGCAGCATAAAAATCATTTTGTTTATCCTTCTTGTTTCATTCAATCAATGCTGAATATTTACAGCAAAATTTGAACGGTTTCGTATGTTTTTGTTTTAGCTGGAAAAAATTAGTGACATGTTATATGGCTTGGTATATATACTTTTATTTATCGTTTATATGCGACAATATTACTTGTAAAATCTCTATATTTCTAACATTACAACGTTCCATCCGTGCATTATATAGATTGCATACGTAGACGTTTACGATTATCCAACGTAAATCTTTATCACAAACGTTATTACAGGACGTTACTGTATATATTTTGATAACATTCTCTTTTTTATGTTTTATTGTTATAATGTTACTTTTATCATGTATATTATAATTCTTTAATTTGTTAATCCATGTTATGTTTTGAGAATGATTCGTTATGGTATGTAATTTGCTACACATTAGATGGAGTGAAATGATATATATGCGTTATATAACTATAGTTACCTCAATGCTATTGTTATCAATGCCTGCATCTTCATCCAGGGTCATATTTAAATCGATCTTTACTTCATTTCCAAACATTATTGGATCTGGAGATATATGAAGATATTTAACATACAGTGGGACTGCTGAGCTGTTGCAGTTGCTATAATTGAAATTTTTCTCGTTCATGGACTCCTGAAAATGTATGGTTTCAAGTGATTTTTATTATTTTCTTATTACAAAATGTAAATAATGTTGTGCATAAACGTTATCTACAAAAATATATCTTTTACAAAGAGAAGAAAGGCTTCACTTTTGTTTAAAAGAAAACATCACCAACATTTTGCAAAGTTTCAAGATTGAACAACGATGTCATCTTAAACATGTTTATTATCGATGAATTAATTGTTATAAATTTTAAAGCTGCACGCCTCCAGATGAGACAAAATAATGCAGAAAATTAATCTTTAGAACAATGTATTAAGATCTAAAAAAAGTAAAAAGATTCAATATCTAATTAATTATTTACATGTTATGTGCGATTAATGACTGATTTTGCAGTATCAATCACTATAATTATGCTGCGTTATTAACGCTGTAAAATGTATTTATGTATTTTCTTACCTCTTTTTGGCAATTTACGTGGATTGTAAGTGCCGTTTGCAATGTGTTAATTAGTTTCTTTTTCAATTTTTCTGAAATTTGTTTCAAAATTTTCATGAAAATTAGCATGAATCTGGAGGCATGCTGCTTTAACACTCTAAAAACAATTTTTAAACATTTATCACTTGTTAAGGACAAAAGAAATAAAAGAAAGGTACGTTACCTTGAAGACATTCCATTGCGAAGAAACCTCAAATAAATCAATAACAAAAAAGCTTAAAATGCATACTATGAACGACTTTACAAAAGCCATTGCATCCACACTACACATTTAATAACTAAAAAAAACAAGAAAACCAACAAAAAACCGGAAGGAAATTATAAGTGGTTTACATCTGTTGAAATTTTAAGCATATGACATTACGGAAGTAAATGTTTGGTTTGATTTTAATGAAATACAAAAAGATAAAAAAAATATTTTAACACGGTAACTGCGTTATTTGTTAAAACTTTGAACATTTACCTTATTTAATTAGTAATTCATTATCATGATTGAAAAGATCAAATACTCTCTTATCAATGATAACATTAAAGAATAATATTTTTATTACAATACGTTTGTATCAACATTCATTTTTATCTCAATTTAATAAACCAGTCGAATAAAATGTAAAAAAAATCAAATTAATGAAAGAAAATATTTATTAATACAAGAGTATATACTGACAATAAACAGATATAACATATAAAATTCACCTTGAATACCAGATTTATAGTGAAAAAAATTGTAACAGTTATATACTTTGTACAACATTTCAAATGTCCTGTGTCAGTTATTCAACTCCAACGTATAATCATTGTCAAAAATATTCATTCGATCATTTGAAATTACATTTCAGTTGAGGTCAGAACACCTTGTTTCTATTGTTCGGATATGCTTCATTTTGCAATTGATTTAATATGGAACCAGATTTTCAATTGTTGAATATCAGTATGCCAATCCATATGCCTAAGGTCATTCAAAACATTATACATTATTGCTGATTTGGTATTCGCTTAAATTTGGCGGCAAAACTGACGTATCATCCTCCTAGTGGCGTACAATCGCTGGAAGTAAAACAGTTATAATCCATGTCAATATATAATGTTTCTTAATCAATAATTCACACGAAGGGTAAGGTTAAGGTTTTCGGCGCTTGATGTTGTAAGCCAAGTTAACTTGAACCGAAAGTGATTATTAACCTTTACCACCAGTGTAAACCAAGCTAGTCGACATACTACTGCAGTTTGACCATGTTTCAGACAATTTGCTGGGTGACTAGCAACGTTTTGTCATATCTCCAAAATTGACAAAGGATAATTTTTAAATTTGTAGCTACACCGTTTCATATAACAAATTCACGAGGATAAAGTTTATGGAAAATATGGTATATCATTTTTCTAATCTCAAATTATTAAGCATCAGACCTTTTTTACAAATTCCATAGAACATTGCCTAATGATTTAAAACTGATCGTATGGAATGTTAATGCAAATTATAGAAAATTAATGATACCAACAGCAACAGTTATTGCATATTAGATATCAAATCAAAACCTACATACGTGATACAGAATTCAATTCGTACACAACCAACATGTGTTCCTTGCTCTTGTAAATTGATTGTTAGGTCGAATGTCCCCCTTAGTTGAATGGGCAAGCTTTTAAAAAATATTGGTACTTTATGTACTGTGTAATCGTTCTACAAAATGAAAAAATGTTGTAATAAAATTACACGTTAGTACAATTTATGTAATGTTCAGTGTCATTAACAGATTCATTAAAATAAAGATTGGTTATCAATCAAAGGATACATGGCGAGAATATGCAGTATAAAATTTAATGTTATATGTATATTACAAATATTTTATCTACATATACATATAATTTCAGAATTATTTATAAATGCTATAGTAAAATGCCTAGCCTAGATAAACAAATGTTCTAAGTACTGGCAACTTTATTTATTTGGTTAACTAATATGTTATAGTTCTTTGTATATATGTCGTATTTCTAACACAATGCAACAATTGTAACAGAAGGCAAATTGACCGAACAGTTAGTTCTGAGATTATTATCAACTATTTATTACTTGGGCAATATTTAATATATAAATTATAATATGTTAAAATAGTATATACCTTAGCAGTAACACTAATAATTAATTGCAATTATAATAAGATGTGTTCAAATATATATGCATATACCCACTAGAAACTACGACACACAACTTATGCTTATAATTAGGGTACTTTTGAAAAAGGCATTCACTCGCTGCTATTATAAGGGATGATTAATTTCCCCGAACTTAATTTATCCTTCAAGTATGTCATTTGATAACTTGAATTATTTCGATATAACGACTATTATTACCTACACAACATATAAAACATGTGCTTTAATTATTATTGCAAAAAGAATGTCAAATCAACATCTAATGTAATTTAATCTAATGTTAAGTTTATTTGTTTACATTTATTTGTGAGAAAACGTTGAATTTTGCAAGTTTATATCTTCAATAACTTCGTAAAATCGTATTCTTTGAATTTAAAACAGTCAGCCTCGTGGGTCTTAGACTGCATTTTCAAAAGAGCGATCGCACACAATAGATTTAAATGACACAGTCAAAAATGTGTCAAGTTTATAACAAAGTGTAAAACCATCATCCACCCTGTTCATTTTTATAAGAATACTATTTATACTTCGCTTAATGCTGTGTTTAGTTCTTATGGATCAAATACGTCAGAAAATAACACAAACCTTTAAAAATGGGCACGAACAGTTATTATGATACTTTTCCTTCATAAATGCTGGGCATGTGTTTGGAGCACGGTCCATGATTTTTTTAAGTTCTGCACACAAGTCATTAAAATGGCAATTATTCTCCCCGATAATGTCACACAGTTCCGTGTAGCCTTCAGAAGTTTTTAGTCTCCAATTCAAATCAACCTAGAAATAAAAAGATAACTAAAATGTGTAAATCAGCTATATTTTCTTAAATCAGTGTTCATTTTTTTTTGGTACTTCTGGGATAGAAATATACATTGATGAAATTGAACGGCCAGGTTTAAAATGGTACATGACTTAGAAAACGATGCATGTATATGCTATCTTCTCCATTTACCGGTTAATTATCATAAAACAGGAAAACGACCAGGAGTTTAAAATCTGTGCTCGGAATATTATGTCTGATTATATATTCTACATGTCTACATGAACTTTACCTGTGCATATGGTTTTGTTTCTTAATCGAATTAACTCAAAGGTTTAAAATGGAACATGACTAAGAAAAATATATGCAACTTCTCCATTCACAGGTTAATTATCATAAAACAGGATAATCTTATTGAAATGATATAAACTTACATCTATTCTATTGTTGTCTTTTCCAACATCTCTCTCCAAACTGAATTCTATAGAAAGACGCATGACACCCATTTGAAGATTGATCGGATCTGGATACAGTTTTAAGAGCTGCACGTAAAATGGAGTTGCAGACCGGTTACAGTTTTCAAAGTGAAAATTGGTCTGGTTCCCGACATCCTATATAAAAGATGAAAATACTGTGGACTGTATGTCATTTGTTATAACATGTATTACACAAACGCTCACACAATGAATACCTCCCTCGGCAGACTTCACAGACGTAGCATGATGATGAAAGTCACATGACGTAACATCAAACTCAATAAATGTAAATATTGACCGTTACATAGAAATTCTAACGTCATTTTTCTCGTACCTGTGTTTGTTATATAGCTTTTTTAAATATCATAAGTATACAAAATAATGAAAATAAATTCAAAAAAATGAGGTTCTTGATATCAAAACAATCAATAAAAATACAAAAACTTACCTTGTATTTTAAGCTTTGTGTGGAAACACTTATTACCAGAAAATGATATACCCACAACACACCTAATATCACAATGTACATTTTGAAAAAAAATATATTGAATAGCGAAAATCCTTGCTAAAACGTGTCTGTGTTAAGCAGGAAATTTATTGTACGTTAAAAGAAAAGAACATAAAGCATAATTGATATTCAACTGACTGAAACTGTTTGTGACTGTTTAAAAATATTGTTCTCAAAGAAAATATTTACGTCCTTGTCAGTAACAACAATGAACACATTTTGTAAACACCTTTTCATCCCGGCTATTCAATCTAACGACAAGTCAAATTTCAAAGCATATATATTTCTTTTGTTCGGTTTCGGGTTGATTTTGGCAAAGTTGCTTGCAAAATATTTAATTACGTTTTACCAAGATTTGTTATAGTTGATTACATTAAAAAATTATCTTCCGTTTAACTTTTACAACATATGTTATGTTTCTTTTCACAGATTTAAATAATATTGAACTTGTCGGGTAGAATTATAATCATGTAATAAATATTGAAACTTTCATTGACTTTGGTAAATATAACGCAGAAGAAATGTTAGACAACAACAACAGCAAATATCAACAACATGAGGTGAGCCGTACTTCACTGAAGTGCAAAAATGAAAAATGAGATCAAAGATAAATTTGAACATATCAAGAAAGAAAATTGTAAAATATATTGTAAAATGATAAAAGGTGTTAAAAGGTGTGTTTCAATACTAGAGATATATTAACAAATATGTTCTCAAGTTCTCGGTTAGCCCATTTAGCAACAACAACAACAATGGCGGTAGTAAGTCGCTGAAAATCTGAGCTTAGCAAAAATGTTGGATAAATCAATCAAAATATCGATATTATAATTTGAAAAGTAATAAAAACTGTGGATATATCAATAATATAATTAAATACAATCGGAAATGGATTATATTTGGTAGAATATTGGAAATTGATAGATATTTAGTGAATATATCGCAGCGCGCGGAAAATTTTCTTTGTTGTTTCCTTTGTGTTTTCGAGTGAGCGAATGTCCATTTTTGCTAACATTTATTTT